CATCAAAAGAGGACGTTGTGACCAGGAGGAGACACTGGTGTAACGCGTGCGGACTTCCAAGAAGAGCTAAAAGTCACTGCTGCGACTCTGACTGACCAGCCCTGCGCTGCGTTGGCTCTGGCGAACAATAGATCTCGATTGACGGACAGGGGGACGGACCGAGCGAGTGAGGTGGGGAGAAAACGGGCGGAAAGGAGGATCAAATAGACGGAAGGAAAGAATTGAGGGACGGAAACCAGGGGGGACGAGATAGAATAGAAACGTGGAAATATCATGGGCAGAGCGTGGAAAGTGTTGAGGGAGGAGGGGAGGAGGAGGAGGAGGAGGAGGAGGAGGAGGAGGAGGAGGAGGAGGAGGAGGAGGAGGAGGAGGAGGAGGAGGAGGAGGAGGAGGAGGAGTGAGGAAGAGAGGAAAGTGCACGCGCAGGTAATGCATCCGCGTGCGTGTAGGCAGCAAGGCATGGAGGAACGCAGTACCTGTTGGAGCAGCACTTGCTGCTCGATGTGCCCCTGAGGGAAGTACACAGCGAGCGACCCCACAGCAGGCACCATGGCCAGCGACCCAGCCGCCACGTGCCACAGCTCCTCGTCCCTCGCCTTCACGAAAGCGTCTCTCGCTTCCGCTCCCCGTCCCACCCCCAGTGCACGGGCTGATGACCCGCCCATGATCATGACGCCGTGGGATGGCCCGCCGTCACGAGTGTTGACTGCATCGTGTCTCTCGCCCATCCTCGCCGGCACTGCTTGTGGCTCACGCGGGTGCACTAAGGTGCGCGGATGGGGGGGATGAGCATCATGTGGCGGCGCAGGTGACAGCACGTGCGAGGAGGCGGCGACAGTGTAGGCAGCCGGCGCGAACACACACACACACACACACACACACACACACACACACACACACACACACACACACACACACACACACACGCACGCACGCACGCACGCACGCACGCACGCACGCACGCACGCACGCACGCACACACACACACACACAAAGCGAGAAACACACACACACACACATACACACACACACACACACACACACACACACACACACACACACACACACACACACACAAAGCGAGAAAAAAAAAAACACACACACACACACACACACACAAAACAAACCAGAAAAAACATTATCCATGTAATAAGACGCTTTGAATGAAATCGTAAGCGTTTAGAGCCTTCATCATATCATGTCGTACTACGTCATGATCTAGTAGATCATGCAACGTTCAGAGGGAACTAGATATTACCTTTAAAGAAGTTGCTATCCTGGATCATGTGGAGTACAAGTGAGATAGGTCTGCAGACCTTTTCATTTGAGACATTAGTGTGACAGCGTTTAGACAATAGTGTGACAATTGCTGGTCTCCCGGATCCGGGATCCTGGTCTTTCGAGATTTACAGGTGTTATTCGAAGTAACCGCCGGAGCCGGAGTGCCATTACTCGCGAAACATTGGTCGCCGCCTGAAGGAACGATGTCAGACTCCGAGAACCGTGGCGGAGGGAATAGCCAAGAGAGTCGGCCATCCGGGTTCGAAACTATGTTCGCGGACCGCGGATCTGTCTGTTTCTGCACCCTGATACTGCGAGTCGCAGTAGTGTCCGACATTGTCAAATTCATATTTTCAGCTTCGGAAACGCAGGCTTGCATGAACGACGCCGAATCCTCGTGTTTTGGTGTTAGGTGTTGCACTGAGGCCGCACGAAAAGCTATCTCGTAGCCGCTTTTCTGGTCACGTAGTGTGAGAGCGTCGGCGTGAGGAGCTTGAAATCTTTCTTGCCGACCCAACGAGTCGTTGCTACGGTACTGGCGCTCTTTGTGTGGCCATATCATGGACGCATGCACATGGAACAAGGGGCACAATCCTTGGACAAACATCGTGGTCTCGGTCGGTCAGTGAGACCGTGGAGGAAACCCTAGGACAGGAGGACCTGCTTGCGGGACAAGTTTGTCAACCTGTTGATTTCCTGGTTGCTGAAGGAACCAAGGCAAGCCTGCACCATGGCTCAGGATGACAGGGTGTTTTGCCCCGACTTTCAGAGTGTTGTTTTAACGGACCAAGGCAACCTGTCAGCAAGGCTCCGCTCACCTTAGATGTGCTGGAAATTATGAGACACTCTGAAACCTCAACTTAGAACAGCGAGTCGCACACTGCTGAGGAATTTTGCCCCCGCTTTGATGGACTAGGATCCGCTTTGGCTTTTAGGCCTGTGGGATCCATTTGGCTGGAGTTGACAGCCAGCCACAGAAAACAAGCTAAAATTGGCCGAAGTACGAATTTGAATAAAGTGTATAGGAGAGCGAGCACCACCAGAAAAGTCGGGAATGAAGCAACCTGGTGTCACACTAGCGTAATCGCAGTGTGCTGTGTTCGTGAACTTCGCAACCCCTCCCAGCACACGGAAGTTTCACGCTGGCAAATTCGCCGAGTTCGCGAGAAACACAGAAACGGTGTTTGTTAAATTTCCACTGTCAGTTCGGAGATGGTAGATAGATCATCCCGTATTTTATTGGTATACCGAGCCTAAAAAGGTGCGATGGCAGGGTGAAATTTGACTGAAACTCCAGCCCCGCACAGTCCCTCAGAGCAACATGTCGGGAGCCCCGGCCAGCCCGCGAAAAGCAGGACAGCGGCCACAGACGTCAAACGAGGTCAGCATCTACAGTGGTCAATGTTCTTGCACACACAGCAAGGTGTATGCCCGACCGGATTCACTGTGTATGGCATGTAGGCTCTTCAGCGAAATAACGTAGGAAAATCCCTCATGAAATAAAGTAGGTGTCAAGTACTGTAGTCATCATTAGTGATCGGCACTGTGGACTTTTCGGTCAGTGGCTGCTGGGGCAGATCTCAGATAATGGTGTTGTACATATCTAGTGTATCTGTACAGCATTCACAGTTCCAAGTGTACTCGTACCACCAGTCCCCTAAGGGTGTGGGCCTAATCGAGTTTGAACGCGATTGCTCTGATCGGGTCGGATCTGATCGGGCTGCTTGTGATCGCAGTGCCCGAGCACCCCGATCAGAGATGTTTTTCGAAGAAGATCTCCAGCGCTTGCGGAGAAAGTACTGTACATTTACGTCGCAATTTTGTCCCCATTCTAGCGAGATTGGCGACAATACGTCACCTGGCGAAGCTTTTTTGTTGCCCGGTAACTTGACAGTGTAAATACTCGCAAGCGTCGTTGTGGGCCCCGACCACATGCAATCAGCTGATCGCCTGTGATCGAGGAAAATCGACTTTGATCTGGGTGAAAAGCGGGTCTGATTGAGTTGGGGCGATCGGCTGATCGCGATCAGCTGGTTGCCCCTGATTGCATAAAATTGGCTTCCAGGCTTCCTAGAGATTGCTGATTGCATGTGATTGAGACGATCAAACTCGACTAGACTCACGCCCTAAGACCGAAACATGCCCTGGAACAACTTTTGAAAATCTTTGGACTCAGATGCCGCCCCCATAAACAAGAGGGCGGAAAAGACAAAGGTGTAGCTCAGTAGTGCCGGCAGACAAATGTGAATTACTGTACGAGAAGGCATTTCTGGTTGCATGAGGGCGGGTCATTTTCGTTTTGTGTGATCAGTGAAAGGGATATCGCTCAAAAGCAGCGGGAGGATCTGCATACACTTGTTTCTACCGGGGGTTCTGTTCCACTTCTAGTTCTTGAGAAACACAAAACTGTATATTCAGTTGGTCGAGGAATCCTCTTTCGTTGAGAGATACCAGGTCGAACTGGCAGCAGCAGCCGGGTTCACACATTGCCGCCTTTCAGATTTGAAAGTGTCGGGTTGTCTGAGAGAGCCGGTCTGGTCCCTAAACTGAGCTGTAGCATTGCTGTAGAGCAAGAACCACAACACCGAGTTGTTCCGCAAAAATCCGGGCAGTTCGAACGAGAACACGGGGGTCCTTGTTCGAACGTGCAAGGTATACACCGAGTCCTCGCCAATTTCACGTCCCATGAAACTTTTCACAATTCACCCTTGCCCGATTTTGACTTTAGGGATCAAACATTCAGGAACAAAAGGCTACTCGTGAAGCTGTTTATTTTCGTTTCGCGAAACTCTCACGCAGTGGCTGCAGCGCATTGACTGGATTTTCCGCTGCAACCCTGTTTTTGTTTTCCTGCTGACTCGTGTGGGTAGTCTCGAACATTTACCTACTTATACCTAAGCTTTTCAAATGACCCCCGATTTCGGGTAAACCAGAAAGGATTGCTCAGGGGTGTAAAATTGGTGGGATTGAAATTGGCGAGGACTCGGTGTATGTGTTCTTCGTGTGCTGCTCTGTCTTCTCAAGCACAAGCGTGAATCACTACAGTACAAATGCTGCCACATTCACGCCCTCCGATATTTTACAGCTCAGCTTGTACTTCGCAAGTCTGGCAGTCTGTCCAGTACAGTTTGTGGACGTTGACTTGTAACGACTGGCACTTGGAGTGGTCTCCATCATAACGCCGAGTTTGTTTTTGAGAAATTTCAGAACCGAAGTACAATCACAAGGGTCCGATACACTCTCTTTTATAAAGAGAAACTGCAATATCTAATTTGACAACAGAATGCTGATACAAATGAAGGCTTACGCAAACATTGAGTAAGGCCCTTGCTCTGAAGGGACCTCAGAACTTGAGGTTTGGTGTCAGAATAACCGAAATTTTATTATATCAATCCCTAATATATCAATGTAATGCACTACCTCGTATAGATAATGTGCACTACCGAGTATCGTATTACACACATATGGAGCATGCGATATGTGGAAAGTCAATAATCAGAAGTCAGCTGCTTTGACTGTTGAGTGGCTTGTCAGAATCCCAACCACTAGACCATTGGGATAAAAAGGCTTGTTTGTGTAGCGGGTCCATGCGCCCATAACCCCCTAGGCGAACACGCTTCTAACCCCCACTATGATCAATCAGGCATCCACAATGCAGGTCTACTGACCCCCCCCCCCCCCCCCCCCCCCCCCCCCCCCCCCCCCCCCCCCACCCCAACACTGGGAGGTGTCAAACTGTATGTTTGTGTTCTCTCTAGGCTATAATGGGTTAGCCTATAAGGGGTACAATACTTGAGGGTTAGTTTTTGTACCTAACTCATTTAAAGCTCATCATTCCTGCACAGTTATTCTGATAGGAGGCCCATGACTGAGGCAGCAGCAAAGTCAACAAGCTCAGAGACTAAGGCGGTGGCAGCAGATGACTTTAAAGACTGGTCAGTGACAATAGTGGCTAGTAGACGCGTGACAATGGGGTGAGCAGCACGAACCAGGTCAGACTCAAGGTCCTGAACGTCAGGCACATAAGTCGCAAGAGGAGACGTTAGGGGAACACGCTGTGGAACAGAGGAAGGACGAAGTGCCATAGCGTGCGTGCCAGGGATAGGAGGCGGACGCTCACGAGGAACACGACTACCAGTGCGATGCGCGCGAACAGGCGAGGCAGGACGAGACGCAGGCTCACGACGCTCTGTAAGTGAGTCGGTCTGCTCAGTGTAAGGAGAAGGTGCAGGCAGTGGTGCGCCGGGCTGTAACGGAAGGCCAGTAGAAGACAGGAGGCTAAGAACCTGGCGAAGCACGGAGTCAGGCGGTGGCAGAGACAACGGTGACGGCGGAACGAAAAACAGTCGTGATGGTGCAGTGCCACCAGTACCAGTAGCTCCAGCGCCTCCAGCAGCTCTAGAACCTCCAACCCCAAAACCTCTAGCAGCACCACCTCCAGCTCTAG